CAAAAGAAAAAACCCTTTAAACTCAAATGTCTTTATATATTTTTTAATGCAGTTCCATCCCCATATATTTTATCGAAATCCACGCATTGTTTAGACTTGAAAAATATCTTTAAAAAAAATCCAGGCCTTGTTTAGACTTGAAAAAATATTTTTTAAAAAATCCAGGCCTTGTTTAGACTTGAAAAAATATTTTTTTAAAAAATCCAAGCCTACTTTAGAAATTTAAAAATCCCAGCCTTTAAATGGAGATAAATTGTTTCTTAAATTTTAGCTACCATTAAATTTTAAAATTGTGTCACACATCATTATCCTTCCCTACTTGCTGTGTGTCCTGCCACCTGCAGCATTTTTGTGCAACAAATCATGCGTGCTACCACTTCTAACCGACCGAACAAATTCTTTGCCATCATCTACAAACAACCGACTGGTGAAAGGACAAAATTAAATTCCGCCCACTAAATCAAGCAGAATCCAGTAAGGAACGTAGTAAAGTCGGACGGGGCCGACTATATGATACCCTTCACGACTTTGAATATATTCAACAGATGAATCCTAACAGACGTCGCATTTTTAAATGACCAGTAAATCGTACTTTAAATATCCTTAGGTACCCGAAGAAATTCAGGATCAATTTTCAAAATTTCATGGAATATTCTCTCATTCCCTAATCATAATTTGGCATGTAATTTTTTGTGAAACCTTATGTATTGCCGAAGTTATGGTCAAATTTTCAAAATAATCTAATAATTACTAGTAATCATACGCACTATCGTACCCAAAGGAAACATTGCTTTTAATGCTGATTTCATAGTAAAAAATCGTGGCTTTGTAGTCACATATGTAATCTCTCCATTGGCTTTACCTGAAAAACATTATAAATCCTTCTCCTTGCATTTATGATTTTTAGTAAAAAAATATTTTCTTAATTTAAATACTCATAGATTTTCAAGAAAATTTTGGACAAATTTCAAAATTTTATAGATTATTCCCTCATTTGTTGTTTATCATTCAACATTTAAATTTTTAGAATATCTCATCTATTCCCGACGATATGGTCAAATTACCAATCTAACCCAATAATTATTAATAATCATACGCACCATAGTACCCAAAAGAAAAATCTCTTTAAACACCGATTTCTAAGTAAATTCTACTGACATTCCATCCGAATGTCTTACCTCGATCTTTGACTATGTCAGTAGTGTATAATACTCACGCCACTCATACATACTTACCCTTCATCTAAGTGTGTTATAAATGTACACACATACATACGTGTGTGTATATGTGTATTTGCTGAACAATGCACATTTGAAATTTGTGATGATGATTATTTTTTCAACATTTTCATTTTCGTTGTTGTTGTTGTTGTCTTCTTCTATTTTCGTTTATTAAAAATTGCATTCTTCTCGGCACCAGCCTTCTCCGTCCGCCCACATCAGGAACATAAGGCAACATTTACAAAAGGCATTATTAAAATAGCTTTATTATTGTGTATAGAGAAAAAAAGAAAATTATTCTTTACAACATCGTATTTTTCTTAATTATTTTTATTTTCTTTTCTACAATTTTCATCACATTTCCAAAAGGGTCTGTTTAAATTCTATAGGGTGCTTGGGAATTTGTTAAGAGATAATAAACACCTCGCCGTTTTTCCATTAGGGTTTTATTATAATGTCCATTATGCTCAGCTATCTGCAATTGCACTCCCGTCTCTTCAGGACATTTATTTTGTTTGACCATTTCCTGCCACATGTCCTCTGCACAGCCAATACCTTGCAGTTTTTCCTTAGCCAAAGCTTGAGAAAATATTTGAAAGGCTCGAAAATGACTACATTCCTTGAAATAACATCCCGGCTGTCGAGTACCATAATTTATATATAAATCCACATGACCCAAAGGCCGATCATAACCATAAGAACCAACACTTGTGTGCAACACTTCTACATATTCCGCATCACTGCGATCCACACGTTCCTCTGGGGTTTCGTAGCGAAATAAAGGCAATGCTGGATCGAGAGCATACAAAACCTTCAAACGTCCTGTTTGCAAATGTTTTCCTGCAATACCAGCCACATGGGCACCCATACTAAAGCCAATTACTTGCAAATCTTCAAAACGCATGCCAGATTCCTGATGCAAGAAATCAATGAATTTCGCCAAGACTTTGCCAACTGGTTTCACCCGATAACTTGCTGTTATATAATCGGCAATGGCACCCTTACCCCAATCCACAGTTATAACGTTGTAGCTGACATTCGGAGCTGAAAGCAGTTCAGGTATTAGGGTGTTATACAGGCCAGCTGTGGCGCCACCCAGCCAGCCGTGGATGAGGATTCTGGAAGAGAAATTGTAAACAAATTATCAGAAGTTTGATTAAAAAATCGAAATTGAAATAGGCATAGATATCCCTGAAGGTCCAGCAAAAATTCCAAAAATTTAAGGAATATTCCCTCATTAGTTGTCAATAATTTGGCATTTAAATAATTGAAAAATATCGTATATTTCCGAAGTTATGGCCAATTTTCAAAATTAACCCAATAATTATTAGTAATCATACGCACTATGGTACCCAAAAGAAAAAACCCTTTAAACTCAAATTTCTTTATATTTTCTTCATAATTCCATACGAGTATCTTAACTCGAACTTGTTTAGACTTGAAAAAATATTTTTTTAAAAAATCCTCGCCTTCTTTAGACATTAAAAAAATATTTTTAAAAAATCCAGGCCGGAAAAATCCTGACTTGAAAAAATATTTTTTTTAAATCCACGCCTTGTTTAGACTTGAAAAAAATATTTTTTTAAATCCACGCCTTGTTTAGACTTGAAAAAATATTTTTTTTTTAAAATCCACGCCTTGTTTAGACTTGAAAAATATATATTTTTTAAAATCCACGCCATGTTTAGACTTGAAAAAATATTCTTTAAAAAATCCACGCCTAGTTTAGAAATTTAAAAATCCTAGCCTTTAAAGGAGATCAATTGTTTCTTAAATTTTAGCTCCCATTAAATTTTAAAACTGTGTCACCAATCATTATCCTTCCCTACTTGCTGTGAGTCCTGCCACCTGCAGCATTTCTGTGCAACAAATCATGCGTGCTACCACTTCCAACCGACCAACAAATTCTTTGCCATCATCTAACAAACAAACGACTGTGGAAAGGACAAAATTAAATTCTGCCCACTAAATCAAGCAGAAACCAGTAAGGAAAGTAGTAAAGTCGGACGGGGCCGACTATGTGATACCCTTCACCACTTTGGGTATATTCAACAGATGAATCCTAACAGATGTCGCATTTTTAAAGGACCAGTAAAATGAAATTGGATCCATAAACATGTCATTCTGCAACCGATACTAATTTTTTCATTTGGTCTGATATGATTCACGAAATTTAACACACATCATTTTAGACCTAATTCATTACGCTGTGCCAAATTTCGTGCAAATCGAAAGATATATAGGGACTTTGGTGCGCCATTTACATTAAATCGGACGAAAATATATATATGGGAGCTATATCTAAATCTGAACCGATTTTCATGAAACTTAACACACATCATTCTAGGCCTAATTCATTACGCTGTGCCGAATTTCGTGCAAATCGAAAGATACATAGGGACTTTGGTGCACCATTTACATTAAATCGGACGTAAATATATATGAGAGCTATATCTAAATCTGAACCGATTTTCAGGAAACTTAACACACATCATTCTAGACCTAATTCATTACGCTGTGCCAAATTTCGTGCAAATCGAAAGATATATAGGGACTTTGGTGCGCCATTTACCTGAAATCGGACGAAAATATATAAGGGAGCTATATCTAAATCTGAACCCATTTTCAGGAAACTTAACACACATCATTCTAGGCCTAATTCATTACGCTGTGCCAAATTTCGTGCAAATCGAAAGATGTATAGGGACTTTTGCGCACAATTTACCTTAAATCGGACGAAAATATATATATGGGAGCTATATCTAAATCTGGACCGATTTTCAGGAAACTTAACACTCATCATTTTAGACCTAATTCATTACGCTGTGCCAAATTTCGTGCAAATCGAAAGATATTTAGGGACTTTGGTGCGCCATTTACAATAAATCGGAAGAAAGTATATATGGGAGCTATATCTAAATCTCAACCGATTTTCACGAAACTTAACACACATCATTCTAGACCTAATTCATTACGCTGTGCCAAATTTCGTTCAAATCGAAAGATATATAGGGACTTTGGTGCACCATTTACCTGAAATCGGACGAAAATATATATGGGAGCTATATCGAAATCTGAACCGATTTTCACGAAACTTAGCACACATCATTCTAGGCTGAATTCAGTGAGCTATGCCAAATTTCGTGCAAATCGAAAGATATATAGGGACTTTGGTGCACCATTTACATTAAATCGGACGAAAATATATATGGGAGCTATATCTAAATCTGAACCGATTTTCACGAAACTTAGCACACATCATGTTAGGCTTAACTCAGTACGCTATGCCAAATTTCGTGCAAATCGAAAGATATTAAGGGACTTTGGTGCACCATTCATAATAAATCGGACGAAAATATATATGGGAGCTATATCTAAATCTGAACCGATTGTTCCCAATTTCAATAGGGTTCGTCCTTTGGCCAAATAAGTGACCTATGCCAAATTTCATTCATATCGTATCATAAATGCGACCTGTACTTTGTTCACAAAAATACACGGACGGACGGACATGCGTAAATCGACTCAGAAAGTGATTCTATGCATATTCTCAAAATGAACGTCTATCTCGTTTCCTTTTGCCTGTTACAAACATATGCACAAAGACATAATACCCTGTATCACAGTGTGGTGAAGGGTACAAAAATGCTGGCCACCTTCCCTGCCAGCTTTCCCCCTCCCTCCCTCTCCTGTTATCCATCCATCCATCCATTCGAACTCACCTCGTTGGCTGGAAGGGATTAAACCTTGATTGTCTTAATGCCCGTGCATTATACAATTGCAATTGTTCCGAATGTATGCCAGGGATGCTGTCAGCAACAGGACGAGTATTAACGCCAAATACACTACTAATTGTGTCAGTGACAACATTAAGGACTCGTTGTCGTTCGCCATTTGCCGGTTGGATTGTCACGGGCAGAGGAGAACTTCTGCTGCTGATAGTGTCATTTAGGGCATTTAAACTATTTCGGGACATTTCTTTACTGCCACTTTCAGGTATTTGGGATTTCTTCATCTGTTCCTCCTCTTTGGTTGTTGCAGAGATATGTGGTCCTTGGAAGTTGTTGTTGTTGTGGTTTTTGGTATACAAATAGAATTCGGTATGTGATTCGGCATTGAATAAAAAACGATAATCAACTGTCGGCAGATGATGATCACTGCTAAATGATGCAATACTAAATGCAGTTGTTGTTGCTGCTGGTTGCTGTTGTTGTTGCTGTGGTAATTGTCCTACCAGAGAGGGTGGAATTAGTAGCAGAAGTAGTTCGTGTTGTTGTTGTTCATTTTGTTCTTGTTGTTGAAATTGTGGCAATTGTCCAAATGATAATGGAGGCAAACTATTGCCATTATAGAATTTTAGAAATTTCAATTGTTGTTGTCGGTTGTTGTTGTTGTTACTATTTGCAGGATTCATCATTGTTGTTGTAGTTGTCTCATCAACCGCAACATTTGGCCAGCTTCTCATCATAGCTTTACTCTGATGATGATGATACATTTCAAATGCTCGTCGAATTTCCTCCTCTTTATACTCCTCTATATCCTGCACTTTTGTAACCTCCTTTTTCTCCTCCTCCCCCTCCGCCTTTCCATTACCCTGCTGATTGATTTCGAAAGCCTTTAATTTATTTAATATCCTTGACGAATTGTCATTAATGGATTTGAATACTGCGGCTTTCAAAGGATAATGGCCAGAGATTTTGTTGTTGTTCTGATTTGAAACCAAAGATTTTTGTAGAGAGGCATCTGCTGGTCGAGGTTTTTGTTGCATTGACCACCACCACCATTGTTGTTGTTGCTGCTGCTGTTGTTGTTGATTAGTAAACCATAATGTTTGTAACCAGCTAGGACCTGTCGAATCACTGGTTATGGGCAACGATGATGCGCCACTCGGGTATGTGGGTAAATGTAACAGATGTTTTCCCTTAAGAGGCAAAGAAGGAGGAGGAGGGTGAGGATGGGGTGGAGTAGAAGAGTCCTTGGATTGTTTTGGCTCATTGTGGCCGATAATTATTGGGTCATCATCAGCATCAATTGATTGTTGCTTTATGTAGCCATTGGAAATATTGGGAAAATCTGCTGGTGGTCGCAAATTGTTATAATTTTGTAAATCATCGAATGGCTTCTCATTTTGTTTATTAACGATGTCCTTTGATTTGAGGGTAGGATTTGGAGATAATTCAGCATTGGCAAGGTATAGATATAATAGAACTAAAAAGAAATGAATTCCATTAATAATTTGCTGAGAAAAAACAAAAGAGAAAATATTTTCAAAAATGTTGGACCTTTTGGGGTAATTGCCTACATTTGCCGATTTCTGGAGAATTTTCTTAATCACACCTATTTTTTTGCAAGAATTTTATCAAGAATCAATTTATTTCATAAATATACCGCAACTAGCAAAGTGCCCGCTACTTCGTATGCGGAAAGGGAATACAAAAAATAATATTTCATATGGAAATCGGAAATACTGTATAATTATACCCTACACAACTATGTTGTCAGGGTATTATAGCTTTGTGCAGCCCCAATAGTTTGTAACGCCGCGAAATATTGGTCATAGACCCACCTTTAAGTATACCGATCGTCATATGTCGACTAGCTGCAGAACATCGCATATTTTACAAGGTGTAGGGGATGTGACCAAATATTTAGAGCGGCTGTTTAGATGAAGACCGTTCAATATTCCGAGGGTCAAATCAACCAAAACCTAGAGTGACCAACTTTTTATTTTATGGCGTAAAAATTCACTTCAAAAAAAAAAAATGGAAAATATGTCAGGGTTAGAAAGTGGAGCTGTTGACCTATAATCGATCAAGAAATATTGCCCAGTTTCAGAATATAGAACCGCAGAAAGTTAGAGATCCGTGGTAGTTGTGTAGGGTATCATATGGTCGGCCCCGTCCGACTATACTGCTCCGCTCACTGGTTAGAATCATTTCGTACTTTTTATACTCATAAGTAAGAATTTCTAAAACTACATCAATCCTACACTCTAACAGTAATCTTATTTCCACCAAAGTCCAACTTGTACCAAATTTAGTACTTTTCGTACCAAAGTTATATCAGATTTGATACCATTCTGTACTCATATTCCAAACCTATCTCAATATTCCAAACCTACTTTCAAATATTAATCGTAAGTCCAAATTTAAGAATTCCAACTCTGCCTGTTCACCAAATTGTACCAGATTTGGTACCATTCCACGGTAACCTAAGTTGCAAATTGGACCAAATTTATGTGCTTTTCATAAGAACGAATTTCCAAAACTCCTTCAGTCATGCACACCAATAATAGCCTTAATTCCTCATTTAAAGATTCCAGCTCTATTCGTTCACCAACAACCGAATTGTACCAAATTTAGTACCATTTATTACTTTTCGTAGTTTCTAAAACTTCCTAAATTCCACACTGCAACAGTAATTTTAATCATACATTTCAGGATTCCAGGCCTATCCGTTCAAATAGATCCAAATTGTACCATATTTAGTACCATTTAGTACTTTTCGTACTTATGAGTTCGAATTTCCAACACTATCTCAATCATATGCTATAACAGTAGTTTTATTTTCAAATATAAATTATTCATCCTTATCATTTCATTTGAATCTAAATTGTACTAAACTTAGTACCATTTAGTGCACATAATTAGGCGTTTTTAAAACTACCTCCATGTTTCATCCAACCCTAATTTTAACTCCAAATTTCAGGATTTCCGCTCACACAAAATGTATCATATTTAGTACCATTTAGTAGTGCTAATGAAAATACAATCTAAATTGTACCAAATTTTGTACCATTTTGTACACATAATGACGAATTTTCAAAACAACCGATATATATCTCAATCCTGAACTCCAACTCTAATATTAATTCAAAATTTCAGAATCTCAGCCCTATCCGTTCACACAAAAGTAATTTGTACACTGGTACCACTGGTAGCTGAGTCGATCTAGACGAGATATGACGATCGGTATACTTAAAGGTGGGTCTAGGACCAATTTGTAAACACGATACAGGCCACAGTTATGGGCCAATCTTCACGAAATTTTGCATGTACGGTGGGTTCTGGCCAATGAAGACCCCTATTGTTTTTGGTAAAGATCGGTTAATATTTAGGGGATGAAATGGACAAAATACTTAATTTTTGTCCGTTTTTCTGGTCGGTCCAGAGGCCGCAATTATGGCCCGAACATCGCGAAATTTGTCTTTTTTGATAAGTATTGGTCAATATTTAGCGGGTCAAATGGACCCTGACTTTTGTGTGAAAAATTACAAAATTTCTATTCTATGGCGTATATATTTGCTCCTGATTGAGCGAGAAGTTGATAGTATGTTCAAGAGGAGGTGTTGACCATTATATTGATACCAATTATATTGTTGTATGTGCTCGGATGTGGGAGTTACACCTAAATATTTACAGGTATCTCCGTATTCGTATATTATTTAGTAACCCATTACCACACTATAGCGCGGAAATATAGCGCTGATCGCTTTGAAATTTTCCATGAGGATCCAGGTATAGTCAAAGAGAAAGCCTATAATTTTCAATGATCATCAGATAATAATATTGGGATGAAGTGGATGGAAAACTTTATTTTTTTGTGTTTCTCGAGTCGATCTATAGGCCACACTTAAAAGCCGAACATCACAACACAACCTACGTTGAAGGGAATCTGGACAAGTAATTAGAAAATCTTTACTGAATATTAGTAATATTTGCTGACCTCTAGGCGGTCAAGAGCTCAGAATGTAGTGCCACAGAAAGTTAGATTTTCGTGGAAGTTGTGTAGGGTATCACATGGTCGGCCCCGTCCGACTATACTGTATATTTAAGAATTTCCTACACTCCAACAGTAATTTTAATTCGAAAATTCTGTAGTCAAGCTCTTTACGTTCACACATAATCAAGTTGTACCAAACATAGTACCGTTTAGTACTCATAAGTACTATGCTTCCATATTTCAATTCTATATTCCAACAACAACAATTATTCCAAATTTTAGGTTTCCAGCTCTCTGAAAATTGTACCAAATCTAGTGCCGTTTAGTACTTTTCGTGCAAATAAATACGAATTGCCAAATATGCCTCTATAGCTCAATCTTCAAATTCAACTTGCACCAAATTTAGTATCATTTAGTACTTTTCGTACCCATAAATACGATTTTTTTTAAAGCCACCTCAATCCTGTAGTCCAATAGTAGTCCTAATTCCTCTTTTCGGGATTTCATCTCTATACACTCAACTAAATGCAAATAGTACCAAATTTAGTACCATTTTGTACTTTTTATACACATAAGTACTAATTACTTAAACCTTTTTCATACATCAACACCACTTCCCAACCTGTATTCCTTATAAAAATTTCAAGATTCTAGTTTTATATGTGCAATATATATATATACAATTAGAACTAAATTTAGTAAAGTTTAGTACTTTTCGTACACTTCTAGTTCGAATTTCCAAAAACTCTTTTGCACATCTTTCTAATTTTCCATCAGTCCAAATTTCCAAATTTCAGAATTCTAGCTCTTCCCGTTCGCCTAATACAAAGGGTACCATATTTGGTACATTTTAGTACTTCGTACCCTTCTAGTTCGAATTTCCAAAAACCCAGCCTTATCTCACGCCTACACATCAACAACAACAACCCACACTCAAAATTTCAAGCTTATAGCTGTAGCCGTTTCGTCTGGGCTATGATCTGTCAGTTACTCACTCACTCACTTAACACTTAGGAACGGTGTAAGGAAATAGTTATGGCATTGGAAAACCCCTTTTTAAAATAAAAAGCGTGGGTGTATTAAATGTGATATCTCTGGTATTTCGTCGGCTACATTACTGATTATGAAGCTGATTTTCAAGACTAGATATTCTTCTTTACAAATCGTGTAATTTCAATCCGATGCCATTAATACTTTACAAGTTATGCTTCACAGAAGATTATCGGCGACAAAATTCCAATATTCGGAAAACCTCGAAGTTGATTTAATTTTCGTAATATCGTTGGTATTTGATGCCTTAGGTCCAAAGTTTTGTTAACGATTTTGTTAATTAGATATTTTTCCTTTCAAATCCATTTAATTTGTTGAAATTTTTGGTTTTTAAATATTCAGAAATGGGAACACTTCTTTGAAATTCATCTTATTTCAGTTCATTTTTTCCTCTTTTTTGTATCTCAAAATTTCACTTTATTTCCAAAGCTGGTATTTTTTAATTTTAATTTATGCACCTTGTAGTTTAATTACCAAATAAAATTTCATTTTTTCTGTTTTTAGTTTTTTCTCTTAACTTTAGACACAGTTTTGTTTTTATCATCTGAACTTTCTTGTTAGCTTGTTAACGACATTGTGGTAACTAAAGTTGGTCTTGTGAAATGGTTCTTCTAACCATTTCTTAACTCAGACCCAAACTTTTGCTGTTAATTACAAATGCAAATATGAAGCTAACTATAAAAAACCATCAACTACAACTACATAACTCTTGAGTAAACAAACAATGATAATCTAAAACAATTACGAATGAGATTGGGGAAAGATAGCCAATGGGGAAGATGGGAAAAAGAAAAAAATCAGAAAAAATAATTGAGAATCCCACACATATTCCTGAGGTAGCTTTTTCAGTTTTAGGGTATTTTTTTTTTGGTCTAGAAAAAAATTCTTGAAGATGTCAGATTCATCTAGAAAAAATCCAGAGATATCCAAGTTTTTTTACGTATAGACAAAAAATCCTGAGACCCTCACGTGTTTTTTTTTTTTTTTTTTTTGTAT